TTGATTTTCCATATATAAGAAATTGAACTCTAAGGAGGTTGTATATTATGCTTTTAACAGTTGACATCCGAAATTGAAATAAAGCAAGGTCTAAATGATCCCTTTGATCCCCATATTGACATTTCAAAACATTTCGTTGGCATATGGAAACATGGTGATAATTCCGCCACACCTCTGTCGAACTGAAATGGTTGGACCAGATTTAAACACCCCACACGGTCGCCATAAAACAGCCATATAAGCCCGGGGCCTGAGTGTGTGGCCTGAAGAGTGTGTCTTGTTTCATGTACACCATGTACCGGAACCAATATATAGTGCACTTGTCGTATGTGGCACGTGAAATGGAAACGTGGGAACAAATGAACTGAACTGTTCTGAACAACAATCGCCGCTGAGGCGCCACCTCGAAATTATTTATTGCTTGAGCTGTAATAACCTGTTCCTCCTTCTTTTCTTCCAAAAAGTAAACACAAAGCGTTTAGAATTAATTAACACACCGTTGTGGCTGAAGTTCTGTTTTCACGTGCTCCATGTTTTTCTCTCTTATTTTTTTTTTGTATTTTTAATTGACCATTGCAAATTCGTTTGGCGCCCATTTTATTTTCACGCCGTCCGGGCGCCACACGCGGCGTATACGCAATCTACATAACATATAGTACACCGAGCAAAAAGGAGTCGGGGCCGGAGGCTAAAACTCTCTCGTTGATTTGCCTTCTGGCTTTCCTATTTCATTCTTAAATTTGCTGTGTGTTATTTCTTTGTCGTGTGCGCAGGCGGGTCTTAATTAAATTATGGCTTTTAATTTTATTGCTTCATCAACCACCCCTCCCATGTGCATTAATTTAAAATCGAACTCGATCACAAATTCAGGGGGGAAAGAATAGCACGATTGTCTTTATAAATTCACGTATCACAAAATTAAATTGAAGTATAAATTATTTCCTGATAAATTATTAATCTGTTTCCAAGGAAACAAATAGAATAGCTTGAATTTGCTGTGGAAATTATTCATCTTAAATATTCTTTGATTTAGCGGAAAAATTTCTTTTGGCTCAAAATACTTAAACTCTGGCCATTAAAAGATCTTTCGGCCTCCTGGCTTCCCCTGCTATTCCTGCCTGAGAGTAAATAAACTATAAATATTAGGAGGCCAAAACGAACACTGCTTTAATGAGCGGCGTCGCCTGAGGAAAATATATTTTTTAAGGGGACAAATACACACGAAAATTAAAGTATAAAAAAGAAGAAGCCCCCATTTTAAATTATGTTAATTGAAATAAAGTATTTTCACTGCCTTAGCCACCATCCATCCGTGACCACAGCTTTGCTAATAAATTAAACAAATTGAGGACGGATTGTTCGCGGGTCCATTGATGTGTAACTCTGGGATACCAAAAGTCTCGGCGGTTTTTATTAATGGACAGACTTAGTGACAACTAAATGAAAGGGGTGAGGGGTGAGTAGAGGTCCCAAAACCAGTTTAAAGGGGCCTTTGCTAAAAGGGGAAACCCAGCTATTAAACGAAACCAGCCAGAGACAGGTGAACAAAGCGACATGGGACTCACTGAAAACTGAAAACTTAAATATCTCGATCTGCGTAAATTTTTATTTTCTATGGGGGCCACGGGGGCTTCGTGATTCTTTGACAATGATTCGGTTTTGTTTGTGCGATCGAGAGACCAAAGAATGTCTTAAAACCAGCACTGAACATTCGTAGAAACACCAAAACGAAACGAAAATCCATAAACAGAAATCGATTTCAGATTTTTTGAGAAATTAATTTTTTATGCTAAGTATAAACAAAAACAAAAGACACTAATAAAAATGAGTGTGCAAATGGGTAGATTCAGAATACCACTCGGCTCCCCTCCTCAGTTTCGGTTCTTCAGGCGACATTGTGTCTCGCCCGAACCTCCAGTGCCCATTAAAAATGCAAATTTCCAAAAAATGTGTGTGAACTAAACAGAAAATGCCAAAAGTAGATGGCAATAATTAATAATAAACTTCGGCACGCCGAAGTTAGCTTCCTTTCTTGTTTTTAAATGGATTTTGTTAGTTTTGCCAAAAGTAGATGACAATAATTAATAAAACAAAACTAACAAAATCCATTTAAAAATAAGAAAGGAAGCTAACTTCGGCACGCCGAAGTTTATATACCCTTGCAGATAGGTTTTCTATGAATAGGAATCCATATAATATAAATTATATATATTTGTGTTAAAAAACAATAAAGTAATACCTGCTTTCATTTCATTCACCTATACATATTATATTTGCAATTTTACATTCACTGATTTGCATTTTTCCTCCACATCAAACAATCGTTTGTATGGCACCTATATGATATAGTCGTCCGATTTTCATGAAATTTGACACAAAATTTAAGACTTATATAAAATGGCTATACCTCAAATTTGATGAAAAGCAGCTGAAAACTAAAAAAGTTATAAATTTAATTGTATTAATTTATCGATCATTCCTATGGGAGCTATATGATATAGTAGTCCGATTTTCATAAAATTTTACACCAAATTTTAAAGTATAATAAAATGGCTATATCTCAAATTTGATCAAATTCTGTTGAAAACTGAAAATGTTATAATTTTTTTTGTAAAAATTTTCCAATCATTCCAATGGCAGCTATAAGATATAGTCGTCCGATCTGGCCCGTTCCGACATATATACGAGTGAGAGTATATAGAAGGCTAACTACAAAGTTTCATTCAGATAGCTTCAAAACTGAGAGACTAGTTTGCGTAGAAACGGACAGACGGACATGGCTAGATCGACTCGGCTGTTGATCCTGATCAAGAATATATATACTTTATATAATCGGAGATGTCTCCTTCAGTGCGTTGCAAACTTCTGACTGAAATTATAATACCCTGCAAGGGTATAAAAAAACTATGCAAAAATATACACAAACACAAAAGGCCGCTAATTTGGATTTGTATACCCTTGCAGATTGCAGTTCGATCATTAATTATTAATACAATATAAATTATATATAATTGTGTTAAAAAAAAAATCAAAAAGTTTCCTACTTTCATTACATTCACCTATGTATATATTTTATATGTAAAGCTTTACAGTTATCGTTTTACATTCGCAGTTTGGCATTTTCCTCTATATTTAACGATAGTTTCTATGGCAGCTTTATGATATAGTCTCCCGATTTTCATAAAGTTAAAACTGAAATTCTAGAATAATATAAAATGACTATGTCTCAAATTTGATTATGTGTTGAAAACTGAAAACCTACTAATTTTTAATTGGATTCTAGATCGCTGCCATGGCAGCGTTCCAACTTATACTTATATGAGTGAGAGTATCTAGAAGACTAACTGCTAAATTTATTTAGATAAATAATAAACTATGAGACTAGTTTACGTTGAAACGGATAGACAGAACAACGGACATGGCTAGATTGACTCGGCTGTTGATGCTTATCAAGAATGTACATATGTATGTATATGATTTATAGGGTCGGAACAGACTCCTTTACAACGTTACAAGCATCAGACTAAAATTAGAATAACGTGCAAGGGCCTAAATATTTATATATTAAAAATAAAAGCATGAAAAACTAAAAAGAAAATTTCGGAAAAACTCACAAAACAATAAACAAAAACTCTACTCTGAAAATCGCAAGGCAACACATAAAAAAAAATCAGCAACAGCGACAACTGAGAGGGGGAAAAACAACAACTAGGCGGAGAAAAACTCGATGACGAAACAGCGCCGACTTTAGCAGAACAGCAGCGCACCAGCAGCAGCGACTGCAGTCCTCACTTCGCTCCCCCTTCGCTCCACTTCACTATCAACCCTGTTAATTTTGTTTTGTTTTCGTTGCATCTCGCTCTCGCGACCGCCGAGCATGGCGCGCGGCTTGGATTTCGTAGTAAAAACGTAAAAACGAGAACGAGAGCAGCAGACGACGACGATGGCGACAGACAAGTGAATTCCAACTCACTCACTCGCACACACACACATACATGCAAACGAAAAAGGCGCGCGAACGTAATGAAACCAAAACAGGGAACGTTTGGGAAGCAGTGGAACTAAGCGATCACAATAAAGTGTGGACTGCATTTTGTGGAAGGCATTCCACGGGATTTAAGTTAAGAGCGCGGATCAACGAACGATCGTTGGTTACGTAGAGAAAGAGAGCGGGAGGGGCGATGGCAGTTCCAAATAGTTCAAATTCCAGTAAATGCACATAATGCTGGAGAGACAGAGAGGCAGATAACGGGGCTACACAAACAAACTGTTAAGTTCCAAACATAAAACTTCGAAGAGTACTCTGACTGACTCACTTTGGTTGTTGTGGCTTATGCTGTAAAGAGCCAGGAAAAATCATTGCAAGTCGAAGAAATGACAAAATGTAAAAGAAATGGATAACAAGTGCGTCACAAGTTCTTCATAAATAATTGATGGGCCTGCAAAGTATGGGGAGAAAATGCACGCAAATAAAAAATCGTTGCCATTTCGCGGCAATAACGGGAACAACGAATTTTAAATCGCAAATAGCACTTTGACTTATTTTGCATTTCTATTTCAGTTTTACATTTCCAAATCTCGCTGGAATTTTGCAATTGTAACTGTAAATGAATGCGCAAAGTGCCAAATAGACCATTTGGGTTATTCAAGGGATTACAATTTTTAAATTCATTATGTTGAGAAAAGCAATATGTTTTCTATTAAAATAAACAGTAAATAATAGAATATCATAACTTTAATGTAACTTAGCTAATTAAAACAGTTTGGAGACCCAATAGTAAGAAGCTCAACCTAAACTAATGTTTTACACAAATTACATTTTAAAACAACACTAAATGCCAACACCCGCCACGATTTCGCTGCCAGCGAAGTTAACAGCTTGGTTTTTTGGCGCGAATGGCCCACACTGAGCGCCAAGTCCCGCCGTTCCGGGTTCCATGCCGCGCCGTTCCGTTGCACCACCGTTTCGTCGTAGCAGCACTCGCAGCTCACTCACTTTTCAAACTTCGCTCGGTTCGGTTGGGAGAACGGACGACGAAAAAAATAAGTCGCAACTAAAAACACAACACTTGGTTTCCTTCGTCTGCTTTCAGCGCGCGCAAATAAGGAAAAGCGAGCGTCTTTGTTTCGTGTTTTGTTTTTTCTAACCGAGTGTACGTTCTGCGGTCGCTTGTGTGCGTGTGCGTACGCACTGAAACTACGATTAAAAGGCAAGAAAATCAAAACAATTGTCGCTGAAGTGAAACCACAAGTGAATAAAAGAAAAACAGTTGCAAAAATATTAACGGCAACAAGCAAAACAGATAATTACTGACGAAAAATATGAGTGAAGAGTAAAGCAATCTGGTATTTACCGTTGCCTTTCGCCATCTCTCCACCAAGCCGTCTCCTTCTTCTTCGGGAGGAGACTTTCCGGCCTACCCATGAAATGCAAAAGCTGGTCAAATAAATTCAACAACTTTGTTGTGCGCAGACTAAAATCCATCAAGGTAAATGTTATTATCTTTAAAAGTAAACAGAAAACTAATATCTAAAAACCTATTGAAATGTGAGACGTCAATTGACAGAAAGTGACAATTGTAAACTATAATTGCTTGGAATAAAGGGGAAAACAAACACGGAATAATACTAAAGTAAAATAATAAATAATAATAAAAACTAAATAAATAAATAAAAAATAAAACAAAAATTGAACGGCTTTGTAGATTCTGATTAAAAAAAAATATCAAGATCAAAGTCATAAATTATTCAATAAAATTAAAATAAAAAATAAACGAAGTGCTTTAAAACCTATATAAATCAGTAGAATGATTATTCTGAATAATTAGTTATTATTTTGAATATAAGTAGAACATTAAAATCTTATATCAAATTAGTTTTAGGCATGCGGAGTAAAACAAATTTATTTGTACTTATTTACTGCAGTTTGTTAAAAAAAAAAAATTACAATTAAATAGAAAAAATGGTTGTTTTTATGTTTTGTGTGCTATCAATTTGTTTTATTTTAGCAGTGGAGCTTGAACAATAAAAAATTTATTTATTTAATTTTCTCTTTGGCGTCGCGCAAAGCGTAATCAGCGAAATGTGAAATTGTTATCCTCTCCTCCTGCGCTCTTCTTGCTTCTCCCTCTTATTTTCTTTCTTTTCCTCTATCTTCCGCTATCTTGCCATCTACCTCTTGTCGACTTTTTGCAAACAAAACGCAGAAGATGGGAAAAGAGAAGGAGAAAACAAAAAACGCAGACGCCTTTCACTTGCATGTCGTCTGTTGCTCAGTTTTGTTGTTATTATTATTACTTTTGTTACACACACACACATTTGTACACAATCGTGTATTTTATAATATTTATTTACATTTAATGACGCTCTGTTTTGCCCTCTTGTTCCCGTTCGTTTTTTCGCTTTTCACGCATTTTATTCTGCTCTGTTTTGCTGTAGTTTCTTCTCTTCCACTTCCTCCTTTTGTTGTGTGTATTCCTTTTCCCTCCGTCCGCTTAGATTCTTGTTTATTTTTATACGACCCTCGCTCTTAGGGGCGCGAAAATTCCTGAAATTCTTTTTCATCCACATTTTCCAGCGGGGAAAAACGAGTTTTTCCAGCAGCGCCGCATTCTTGTGCCCCTTCCTCTGCTTTATGCTTGTTTACAGTTAGGAATGCGGTCGCTCGCTCTTTTCAGTTTGAAAGAGCGCGCGCTCTTTGCTCTTTGGGATTTTGTGTTCATTTTGTGGATTGGAACAAGTTAGTTTTGCCTTGGACATTGTTTATTTATAAAAAGTGGCTGGCAAACAATTACAGTGCAACAATTACTCTCTCAATCTCTCTGAAAAGTGGCGCGCAACTTGTTCGCCTTGTAAAAACTTGCGACGCTAGCAGCGACGCGACTGCACTGCTTTGGCCTCATTTTACTTGACGCTCAGGCCAGGAGACAGACGTCGCTCTCTCGTGTGGTGCTCTGTTCCATTTGGCTGTCTGGTATTCTCTCCACGGCTTTTGCCATCATTTGTCACCGCTGTTACGGCCCGTCGCTGTTAACCAAACAGTACAGTTGTTACTCAAAATAGGGAAACTTCGTTCAGATTTGCAATTAATTTTAAGAGTTATTTGTTTATTTGAGTAACAATTTGCCCTTTTTCTGCACATATTTTGAAATATTTAAGGAAAATAGTTCCTTTACAGAAAACTGTTAAGATTTTCGATTAGCATTGAAGAGAATTAACAGAGGAAGAGAGCGAGAGTGAGAGCCGACGCAGCAAAAACGAAAACCCGACGAGGAAAAGAGAGCGTTGCCTATAAATACAAGTAACGGCAGTCCGAACACAAGTCGGCCGATGAATCCAAAAATTCAACGAAGGCGGTTGGTTGTGTCGGAAAAATTTCAGCCGCGGTGTTGGAAAAAAGGCCTACACATATATTTGTGTATGCTTTTAAACCGGACGTTTCTTTGGTTCGTTTCGTGCACGCGGCGACGCTCTATTACGCACACATACAAACGTACGCAGCGCTGGCATTGATATATGTATGTACATATACACATACGCCCCAAGTTCGTGTGCGATTAAATAATACTCCACAAAAGGCCAAACAAATTACATAAAAAATCAAATCTAAATACAAGTTCGTAGTTGTTCGTTCTCTCGTAAATTGTAACGTGTATGTTCGTTCGTCGTGTTGTTTTTTTCCTCCTCCGTGTTCAACCGATTGTTTTTATTAGTCAAATTAATGTTAAATGTATGCCTTATAAATATAGTAAGCCAGAAGTAACGTTTGCGAATAAAGAAGAGTTCCTATAAAAGCACACAACATACAAACACACACACGCACACTCACTCACACTTACCAACAGAGCACGTCTCGCCTCGTTCTTATAAAATTTTCCTACTGCGTCGGAATTATCGTCGTCGTTATTATTGTTATCGTTGTTCTGGTTGGTTCTTGGCGAATTTTGTGTGTGTTTTGTTTTAACAAACACAACTACGTAAGATTATTACTCGAAATTTATTTGTGCAAAAAACAAAAAGAAACAAGAGTGTGAAAAATTAAAGCGAGAAAATAAATAAAATTAAAAGCCCCCACACACACATACATATATACAGTGACACGCGCAGAGCCGAAAAAAAATACGCGCGCTTTATTGGAGACATATTCTTGTCGGTGTGTATATGCTTCCTCTTCTTCTTCCTGCGTGCCCATTGGAATTTGTACCCGAATCGCAATTACACCATACACAAACAGAGAGCGGCGTCCATCTCCCTCTCTAGCCAGCATTCAACGCAGCCTGGAGAGTAGTCTTTTGATATAGAGAGAGAGAGAGCGTCAAGTTTTGTAATCGTCGATGCTAAAGCGCAGAAATAACAACGTAAGTGTGAGTGGGAGAGAGGAGCAGAGTAGAGAGCGTAGAACGGCAAATTGCATTTGCATTCTTGTTTTGCTCGCTCTCTAGCACACTCTCTGTCCGTGTGCATTTTCATTCATAAGCGCATTTTCAATTTTGTTTGTTTGCCTCGCAAGAAAAACTGAAAGGCAGCAGGCCTTGCTTTGGATGACACAAAGGCGGCGCTATAAAAAAAATCAAGCCCCCTTGGCAAAGTTCAAAATTTGTTGTTCCAAAATTCTTGCTCATATTTATAATTTTGGGTCTAAAAATATGGACGGAATGCCGACGTTGATTCCAATGCAGCAGGTATTGTTTCTGGGGTGGATTACGGGTTTTTACTAGGCCAGGAAAACGCTTTGAAATGTGCATATGTCATTGCTTGATCTAAAAAAGTTGATATCGCCTGATCCGCCCGGTCTGCGGAGAGGAGTAGAAAAAGATAGGAATAACAATAAAAAATTTCCGCGAATTTGTATTATTTTTAAGCTTATAGAAAATGTTTGTGGATCTGTTGTGTGTAGCCTCGCTTATACGCTTTTAAATTTTAATGTACTAAAATTATAAAAAATATTCTGTATATTTAGCTTGTGTAAGCTTTTTTGGCTTTCCTTTCGCTGTAACAATAACACCTTGGAATACATTGAGATAGATATAAAGACGCCGCCTCTTGCTATTTCTAATCAAATGCCTCGTCGGGGTGCATTTTTGCTTTCAATTGACTGCATTCTGTAGACGCAAATTTTATTTATAAATATAAATTGAACACAGAGAGAGAGAGAGAGAGGTGTTGGTTTGAGGTGAGGATCGGCGCTGCTTCTGGCAGCGGAACAGAACCGTCCAACGGCGTTGGTCTGGCAATAAAATAGATTAATTTAAATGTCATTTTTGTCTAGACGCCACAGACGACGACGGCGAAGAGTAAGACACCGACAACGACCAGGAGACATTGGGCAGGGGGTGCGGCGGTTCTATGTTTATAGATCGGTTACATATATCCCACATATCCCCACATACGATGCATATAGGATTCGTGTCTCGGGCTCTCAGACTCGTGAGGGACCTGGTGTCATCTGGTTTTTCCACGCCCACTATTAGCTCAGGGGAAAACTTTCTCGATATACATTTTTCACATTTTTATAGATCCTCTTGGTATTACGCACGCTATTATTTTAATTTTCGTCTTAATGCAAATGAGGTCTCTCTCTGTCGCGGAGATCTGGTTTAAGCTTCAAAAACCTAACCTATGTAATGGACACAATAAAATTTCGGAATTTTGGGTATTTCCTGTTTTATTCTCTGCTTCTGCTTTTGTGTGGTTGCCATTCACCAATGGATTGACCAGTTTCAGGCGCTGACGCAGATCGTCGGCTTAATTAACCTCGTAGTTGCCAAAAACAAAAACAAAAAGGGGATACACAAAATAAAAAAGGCAACAATTAAAAAAAAAAGTAGGTTGGCAACTTTGCTCCGCGGCATAGTTCAAATATTGGAGAATTTTTATGTTTATTTTGTTTAGATTGGACATAGTGGGTGTATCACGGCGAATAGCTCTGAGGTCATGTCTTAACATAGAGTGAGACTTCTCTCCTCTCTCTTTAAATCCCAATCCGTATCTGATTTTCTCGCATAGGCGCCCCGATATTTCTCTAATTTCCATTGGGGTCTGGGTCTCTGAAAAGTAAACCAACCGCATTCCGATGTGTGTGACGCACATCAACTCGACGACTATTTCCCAGATAATACACCTGTTTTAGGGCCAGGCCAGGCCCTTGGGGCCTTCCCCTAACTAGCACACACAGAGGCAGATGACTATTGTCCATTAAAGTGGATCGAACTGCTTTCCGATTGTGCTTTGCCGGTGGGTTCCCAGGTGAGGTCCCTAAAGACAAGAGGTATCTTAAGACTGGTTCCATTTGTTTCATCTTATCTTAATATTTGGCTATTCGTTGCTCTAAATTTAACTTAGCCAGCCCGCAGCTGAAACTTTCATTGACGCATTTGCTCACCTTGTTTTTATGGCTTTTGATTTTTATTTAAATTTTTTGTTCGTTTGTTTGGTTAGTTTTATAGTACAGCAGTGGTTGATTGTGTTGTTGCATAATTAGTAATCTCCAATTTCTTGGTTTTTTGGCAAGCCTATTGATTTTATGTGCGTCTATTAATCTAATACTAAAGCTAAATATCTAAGGGCTTTAATTCCTTGTAAAATCATCCCAAGAAATTTGTTTCGCTTAATGAAAACCTGGTCAACAAAGAGAAACACGAACGACGTAAGAACGGGCGATCGAAAACAAAGGCAAAGTCCAAAAAAAGCAGCATAAACTTCTAATAGAATTGTAAACAGGTGGCAATGAACTTTATTATATTTTATACTTCAAGTCCTTGAACTCTCCAAAATCACACGCACACACAACACAACAACTAAGGCTGAAAGCGAAACAGCAACAATAAGGCAATGAACTTGACGTCAATGGCGGAGACAGACTGGGCAGACTTTTTTGCTTTTTGTGGACCTGTTCTTGAGTTCCGCTTTGCGAGACCTTCTTTGCCAACTTTTTTGTAGGCTTTTGCGGCTGCGCAACAGAATTAAATTTATTGCGTGTTTAATTCCTCTTTCTAGTCATGATAACATATAATTATTAATATATAGTTATTAGGATGTATTTAAATCAGATCAAAATATTTTAAAGTTCTCTGTAAAAACAGGACATTTTCATAGAAATCAGTTCAACGATAAGAACAGGGCCTTAATTGTCAGCGAAATTGATAAATTCGCTTCCTAATTGAATATCAAATTTTCCTTCTAAAACTCAGAAAAAAAGTTCATAATACGAAAGTCGAAGCATATATGCTTTACTAGTTATAATTGAATGATGATTGTGCTGAAAAAATACGGCTGAAATATATCCCATCTGCATCTATATCTAATCAGTACATCTATATATATAAATATATTTGTAGATTAACAGTACACAGCAGCAGCAGCTCCTTCAATCTCCCAGCGGCGCCAGTAGCATTGCAGCGGCCGCTGTTGTCTCAGTTTCTGTTGCAGCAGCCTCGAGCAGCAGCAGCAGCACCGCTACCAGCACAGACTGCCCTGATAGCGGCAGCAGCAGCAGCAATAATACCTGTTACAACACCATTGAGCTGCAGCAACAACAGTTCAACATTGCTGCCTCGACAGCAACTCCGGCGACAGCGGCAACAATGCCGGCTATGGCCAAGGAGAAAGCCTCAGCTCCAGTGTCCTTGAACGAGTCCAATTTGCGGGATATCAAGGATATAAAGGATTTAGTTATGGCTTCTACGGCTGCGGCGACTGCTCGCTTGCATGACCCGCAGCAGCAACGACAGCACACCTGCGGCTGTGGAACAGTTTCGGTCCCCACCGAAAATAACAATAACAGTCGCTACGGCAGCAGCAACAAGTATCTGACAAATGGTGAGTAACTAGATTTTGTAGAGGGTAAACATATTTGGCAGGTCGCCAACATCTATTGTCACCAGTAGTACTTTCTTTGTAAAATTGTCCGAAGAACTTTTAAAAACTGACTTGAATTTAAATCCGTTCAATCTCACCCTTAACTGGAACTCTTCTTGTTCCGACTTCTTCATTTAAATAAATGTAGTAACTAGGTGTGTAGTTATCAGAAGTTTATCATGCCCCTTGCAAATTCTGCAAATAAATTCTACCCTATTTTTGAAATTAGTATGAATATGACCCACAGGACTTGGCAACATGTTGCTGCAGGTGTGGTTCCAACGTCCCACTCTGACACTACTCTCGTCCTCTTTTTGCAGGCCACACTTCGCCTTTGGCGGCGGCAGTTGCTAGCAACAGTTCGTCGGTGGCCACGACGCCGCAGTGCAGCAAGCTGTGCTGTCTACAGCAGTACCAGTATGGTATGAACACACTGTTGACCATGCAGAAGGCCTTTAAGCAGCAGGTGAAGCAGTTTAATGAGCAACTTAATCAGCAGCAGCAACAACAGCAGCAGCAGCAGCAACAACAACAACAGGAACAACAACAGGAACAACAACAACAACAACAGCAGCAGCAGCAGCAGCAGCAGCAAAAGTCTGTAAATCCTGCCCCAAGAAGGTCACCAAACGATTTCATCTTTGGACGTTACATCGGCGAAGGCAGCTTTAGCATAGTTTACCTGGCAGTGGACATTCATTCACGCCGAGAGTATGCAAGTAAGTACTCAGTACTGGTAACCAGATACCTATGTGTATACTAGGTAATGGGTGGGCATTCACTTTCGCTCAGTGTGCCGCCGCCCACAGCATTTGCACGCATTCGTATGGCCTCTGGTCGGCGCCAGCGCGAGAATGCTGTCGCCACATAGACGCCGCTTGTTGGCGATTGTATATGTATGTGTGTGTGTGTGTGTGTGTTGTTTTCTATTGTCGCTACCGCCCGTGGTAGAACCTGGGGCCTGTCACCTGCTCGTCTATGTGCGATTATGGCCGAAATGAACCTACTATCATCTTTACCCGTTGACTAGATAGTGGATAAGGTCATCAAAAACCAATAAATAAGGAGGATTTAAGGATTAGAATAGAAGAAATTAGCGAATTGGTTGAGGAAAACAACAAATCAGTGTACGCTCACAGGTACTCCATTTCTATAGTTCTTATTGGTAAAATTTCATCAGACCCCCAAAAACAGCGGATAATTTCGAGCTATCTAACTGTTAGTTTGTTATCAAGTATGATAACGTTTTTTTTTTGTTATTAATTTTTTATATTCTTCATATTATGCTTTTGTTTGCTTTGGGTCTTTAGCGTTTTTGCCCGCTGTTAATCGATTAAAATAAAAGTAAAAATAGAAGGCTGATGTTAGTTCCTGTCTGCCTGCTATCTCGATTGCACCTGAGATCAGCTGTTTTGCATTGTATTTAAATCAACCGCAATTAGTGTTAGCAAAAAAAGTAGCTGGTATATATTACTTCTTAGTTGTTGTGTTTCAAACAAGATGTCAAGTTTCGTTGTTTCTTAAGGTTAAATACGGCGGCGAGAGCTTATTTTTCTACATCATTTTTCGTGCTAAGCCAATTTGCTTTAAAATTTCCATTGCTTGCTGTCGGTGCGGGGTAAGTGGGAAATGTATGGCAATGATTTTGCCACAGCATCAGCAACAACCGTACATATATATCCCTTGCATATATAGATAGAAAGAAAGAGCAAGCGAGCAAGATAGAGCGAAACAATAACGGCACGTGTCGCATAAATGCAAACGCCAACAAAAACACGCACACCCAAAGCAAAGCAAAAAAGTGGGAATGGAGACGACTGGGGACGGAGCAGAAAAATAACGGCGCGTGGCTATCAGAATGCACTTGCTGCTTGCACAGCCTAAGCTCACTTGATGGGCAGAGAAGCAGCAGCGGCACCAGCAGAAACAGAGCACCCAGTTAACATTGCACTGTTATGACTGATGTTATTGCTGCGCTGTCCACATTAATTACGTTTAAAGCGAATCGCAATAATAACATAGGCAAGTTGTATAAAAATAGAGAAGCACAAATACACGCACACAAATCCATAAGCAATCTCAAGTCGTAAAAAGTTTAACCCTGCAAAAGTAGCTCTCTTTGCCGTTTCTATTCCGCTGCGAACATTAATAAACAGTTTGAATATACATTAAATAAGTTTTGCACTAAATAGAAAAAATATTGTCTTTTTTTTTTTCTCTATTTTTTCAATGTTAGTAGTTTGAAGGTCAAGTATTGTTTTGTCTCTCGCCAAATCGTATGAGTTTTGCAGCAAGCAACAATTGTCTGACAGAAACGCCTTCCACTAGTGTGCTCACTCACACTCTCAAGCACACTCACGATGAACGCAGCAGTTTTCATTTTCGTGTTCCGCCCGTCTCCCTTCCACCGCTCACGCACTAGGACTTTGTTTTTGTTATGATTGCCTACCGTTTTCAATGACGACAGCGCTAGACGGCGCTGTTTGACGCCATACGAAACACGAAGCAAAAAATACGAAATTGAGGTTTTTGGGTTTTCACCTCTATTACCTGCACACGCTCTTGTATTATTTTTGACACCAATAGCACAGCAAATACTGCTTTCTTAGATATTCCACGATATGGAACGATTTTTCCCAAAAAACACCTTATCTTATCACCGTTGCTGCAGATAATCCTGCTTGTATTCGTCTGTTGTTTAGGGAAAAAGATTGAGGAAAGAGTAGCAACAGTGCCAGCTCCTTGGTCCTTTCCATCGTCTTATTTGTAATTACACACTTATTTATAGGCAGCAGCAGCTGCTGCGCAGTCGCAGATGGCTTAGGCCGAGAGGATATTCAACCGTTTCTTCAGACTTCTTTTAACTCCAGCCTTGTAACACGATATTGGGCAGGGAATTCGGGTCATTCAACCCAATTCTGTGGAGGGAATCCTTTCCTTACCAATTTTTTGCTTGGCAGAATCATAATTCCCAGCCTTTGTACCTTGCTTTCCTTGGGTTTTTTTTTGTGCACCAGCTGTTGCAGGGTGCCGGGTGGCAGTTTTTGCACGTGCCAAGGACTTTGGACGGGCTGTACCCGGGCGGCTGCCTGTCGCGTTATAGTCAAAATTAAATAGCGCCAGGAAGTCGGGCAGGAAGAAATGAGAGCACGAGCTGAGCCACCCGACAGCAATAAGAGATGTGCCGAAGACCGGCAAGGTTTTTTATTGCATACCCACACACCGCTGTGTGTATTTGTGGGTGTGCGAAACTATACTGTGTCTCAGTGCGTGCCAACGTTTTATTCAAATTTCTTTGCGTGCAGTCAATATGTCGCCAGAGCCAAGTTCATAGGACATACTACCTACTATTACCGCTCCAAGAGGGCAATAAACTTTTGCTAACCAAGTAACAATAATAACAATAAACAGAGGCGCACACACTACACACGAATAAATAACTATAAAAAGCCAACTCCAAGAGCAACATAAATAATTATGACTCTGAATTACTGTGAGCCAGAATATAGGAGAAGTATAAAAGGAGATATTAATAATCTATTTAAGTTAATCCCTAAAAGTTTTCCTTTTTACGGAGATCACTGTGCTGGTAGTCCCTTCGCCGGCTTCCTCCGCTTTTCGGGGTTTCTATGTTTACCTGGAGTGTTACGTCATGGATCCCATGTTTACGGTGGTTAATAATTTAAAATTTATGCTTTCCTCATGATATTGAATGGCGGCTGCAGGGGATCATTGATTATAGGTTCAGTAATACAAAAACAATTCTTATGTAACAGAGACAACTCTTACACCTTGAAAATTGACGCCCGAACCAACGGCCTTGCAGCAAGCCTAGCTTTCAAGATATGCTTAAGAGAGTTCATATATCACTCTGTTTCTCTTTCGCCCGTTCTCTTACTCCTCTTGGAATGCTAGTTTTGTATAAATCATTTTGCCCCATTTTGGTCGTTGGCCTCCAACTTCCTCCTCCTCTAACAACAATAACAATAACAACAACAAAAAACTACAATTGTAACTTCAATGGGAGCTTGCAGGCAGCAGCTTCTTCATTCGAGTTTATTTATAGAATTTCTCGCTGGCTAGCTATAGCTAACTCTATCTCTGTCTTTCGCAAAGAGCACTGCTTTATCGACTTGGTCAAAATGACTAGTTGTATATTTTTATGACAACAACAATCCATTATTGTCTGTTCTCTCGCCCATTTTCTGTGTTTTGCCATTCTAAAACCCGTTGGATTGCATTCCGTACGTGCACAAGCGCGCGTGTTGCAGCAACAAGTTGCATTATGGATGCATTCGTTGTTTTTCTCTGTCGTATCTTTCGCTCACTGGTTGCTTGTTTCTGTCCATTATTATTATTAATATTATCACTACTAATATTATTATTATTATTTTTATTTTAATTAATATAAATATTATTAATATTAATATTTTTCGCATTAAGCTGTTGACTTCGCTTTGATTAGCCTTTGATAAGCTCCGTCGTTATGACAAAAGCCTGCGTCTGCGTCCGGAGTGGAAAATTTTTATCGCTTACACATTTACTTTTGTTACTGATGCAATAATTGAAGAGTTAAAAGAGATAGCTAGGGTATTTTCGACTAATACTACTTCGTTGAGCTTCTAACAAATTTCAAATTGGCACTTTTTATCGCAAGTACAGCTTATAAAGCTAAACTGATCAAACGAAACGTAAAGTATAGCTATGATTTTTGAAGGGAAAACGTTTATATTAAAAGCGTTTCAAAAAGTGATTATTTGGTTTTTCTGTTGGAAAAGTTATTGCTGAGTCGCCGAATTTTGGGTTTGTTTTTGCTCTCTGCCTTTTCATCTGCAGCTGGTTGTGCCTGCCTGTTTATTTATGTGTGTTTATTTTGGTGTTGTTGTTGTTGTTGCACATGCAGCATAACGAAAAAGTAAAGCAGAAACAGAGAAAAGGCGACACCAAGTTCAAGGCTATGCTTATCAGCGGGGCATTAACCTAACGTATAGCGTAAAATATTTAGAACAAGTAAAATATCAGAGTGGAGCACTGCCGCCGAGCGAGTGAATAAATATTGTGACTTCTGTGAAAACGTTTAAATATGCATGCAAACACACAATCAAGTAACGGTAGAAAGGAAAGAGAAAAAGGAAAGTAGTCAAGAGACCGAGTGCTTCGCTTAACACGCTATTGTTCTTATTTTATTTCAATCAGGAGAGCAATAGTTTTTTTTTTTTTTCGAAACAACACTTTTTTTTAAGGTCAATTTTATTTTTACGCACTTTTTTTTTCTTGTCTTGCCGAGAGGGAATGGGAAATTTAATACGCATTTAAAACATTTTCGCTATTCTCGTTTCTTTCTCTCGTGTGATTTTTTTCCTTATTTTTATATGAATCGTTTAATTGCCGTATTTTGTTTTTTCCTGTGTTTTTATTTTGTTGCCACTCGACTGATCGCCCCCAATGTTCTTATACCCTTTCAGGGTATGATTTACAGGGTGCTGTTTTCAATAATAATGCAAAAACAGAAAACAAAAACTTGCGGAAAACAAATCAAGCGCAAATTACACTGTATACGTAAAAACACTTGACAAAAACAGAAACCAAAGCGAAACTAACTGATAAGCCGTCATAACGCCTGGCTTTTTATCACCGTTAACACTAACAAATGGTGGGTGAGAGGGTAAGGCATACCCAGAAGAGCTTAAACCCGAAAAACAGTTTCACATGGTTCATCATCTGTCTGCCATACGCCTTGCCTCGTTCTTGACTTCACTCAGTTCCAGTTCAACAACCAGTTTAGAATTTCTTTAACTTTGGTCTCACTCGCTTAACGCTCAAAGGTGGGCAAGAACAGAGAGATACTGCAGCAGGGTGAATTGCTTCAGAAACAAGTTCTCAAGCGCGCTCGCTTTCGTTTTGTGTTGTATCGCTGTTATTTTAATAATTTAAGCAGGATTCCTGCTTCATTTTCGATAATAGCTATCCCTGCAAGCCAAGTTCAACCCCCTATGGGGTGGCACACGTCCAATTGGACTATGACAAACTTGTCGCCTGCGCTTCAAACTTTGTCTATTGTGCGGTATATTTATTATACATTTGTGAGTGTGTTGTTTTTATTATTCTCACGCGTACATTTTGTGGCTTATACTTCGCATTTTTAATTAGATTTATTTAATGCTTACTTGCATTGGTATTTCTATTTGTTTTTGTTGTGGTTATCGTTTGCCAAGAGCGGTTCACGCAAGTAAAATGTAGTTTTTGACATTGACAACTGTTTTCTGATGTTGCTGCGGCTCAACCCAGGTTGTCGTTATCGATTTATTGTTGTACAGGGTTAAATTGAGGCAAGGAAATGATATTTAAGTAGCTTATATAATTCTTCGACATCTATTCTGTTTAGTTATTAATAAATCGAATCTTTTCCTATATTTCAGTTAAAGTTTGCGAAAAGCGGCTAATCCTCCGCGAATGTAAGCAGGACTACATTAAGCGGGAGCGTGAGGTGATGCACATGATGACCAATGTGCCTGGATTTGTCGACCTGTCCTGTACGTTCCAGGATCAGCGCTCCCTCTACTTTGTGATGACCTACGCCCGTAAGGGTGACCTGCTACCCTACATCAATCGCGTTGGTAGCTTTGATGTTGCCTGTACTCAACACTATGCGGCGGAGCTGCTACTGGCCTGCGAGCAGATGCATCGCCGCAATGTCGTGCATCGCGACCTCAAGCCCGAGAACATCCTGCTGGACGAGGACATGCACACTTTGATCGCTGACTTTGGCTCTGCCAAGGTAATGACGCACGACGAACGCCTGCTGGCCGCCGAGCATTGCTCGGACCAGCGGCGCAGTCAGTCGGACGAGGATGACGAGGAGGACAGCGATCGGCTGGACAATGAGGATGATGAGTACTATGACCGGTACTCGGAAGGGCTGGACGAAGGCGATGTGGATGTTCGTCAGCAGCAGCAGGCACACAACCAGGACGAGATGGACTCGCCGTGTCTGCGCCAGAGGCGTTACAATCGTAGACGCAAGAACAGCTTCGTCGGCACCGCCCAGTACGTTTCACCGGAGGTGCTTCAAAATGGACCCATCACACCGGCAGCTGACCTTTGGGCCCTGGGCTGCATTGTTTACCAGATGATCTCTGGTTTGCCGCCATTCCGCGGAAGCAACGACTACGTCATTTTTAAGGAAATCCTCGACTGTGCGGTAGACTTTCCGCAGGGCTTCGATAAGGACGCCGAGGATCTGGTGCGTAAGCTCCTGCAGATTGATCCGCGTAATCGCTTGGGAGCCCAGGACGAGTTCGGCTACTACGAGAGTATTCGCGCTCATCCCTTCTTCGCTGGCATTGACTGGGATACGGTGCGCCAAAAGACCCCTCCACCCATTTATCCTTACTTGCCGGGCGTCAGTCAGGACGAGGACTTTCGCTCCAGCTACTACAGTGTGCCCGGTGACTTGGAGCCTGGTCTGGATGAACGTCAAATCTCGCGACTGCTCAGCGCCGAACTGGGCGTGGGCAGCAGCGTTGCAATGCCCGCTAAACGTTCGACAGCAAAGAGTAAGTCCCCCTTGGCTAATATCTGAGGTTTTTATAAATAAATAGTTTCTACCGTTTTAGATTCCTTTGACCTGAGCGATAGCGACAAGCTTCAGCGACTGGAGCAGCAAAAGACTGACAAGTGGCATGTGTTTGCTGACGGAGAGGTTATCCTGAAGAAGGGCTTCGTAAACAAGCGCAAGGGTCTGTTTGCCCGGAAGCGTATGCTCCTGCTGACCACCGGACCCCGGCTCATCTACATTGATCCCGTGCAGATGATCAAAAAGGGCGAGATCCCCTGGAGTCCCGAGCTAAGGGCCGAGTACAAGAACTTTAAGATTTTCTTTGTTCACACAGTGAGTTGGGAGTAATTGGCATTGAAAACTCCACATGCTAAAAACTAATGGAAAACCTAGCGAATGCCAAAAACAAACTAATCTCCTCTATCCTTTTTTTGCAGCCAAATCGCACCTACTACCTGGACGATCCCGAGGGCTTTGCCATTCACTGGTCAGAGGCCATTGAAAATATGCGCAAGCTGACCTACGGCGATCCCAACACCAACTCCTCTATCTCAGCACCATCCTGCTCAAACGGCAGCAGCAATAGTTTGGCTGTCGCCAACTCGAATTCCTCCTCCGTCGCAGCAGCCGCCGCCTCCTCGAGCAGCTCACCAACAGTGCGACGCAGCTCGCCGGTTAGCAGTAGAAGCAGAACAGGGACGTCGCCGAACAAGAAGACGGCGTCCAAGTGAATGTAACTCTAGTTTTAGCGAAAAGTGAAATTAAATCCTAATTTAATCGAAAATTAGTTCAAAAGACGAAGGCGTAGCAGTAGTAGTAGGACTATGACTATGACTAGGATAAGAGTAAAAGAAGGAAATCTAGTGCTAATTAGAACCCAATTTTCTGTTTATCGTTTATAAATTGTGCTTCGAGCTGAGAATACATATACTAATATAATGCTAAGTAAATCCAATTTAAAAACTAAATTAATTATTTATATTATCAGCATAAAGAAATAAATGAAAATATATTCGTATCTAGTGCTTAGTTAGTCACAATTTAACATAAACCTAAACTAATTATCATTATAAAAAAAAAGAAGAGATAATGCGAGAGCCAAGTCGTATTAAATTTTGTGAATTAGTAGGAAAAGTGTGTGAAAAACTATAATATATTATATTGCGTATAATTTATGTGTGTTTATATGCAGTGGCTCGCAGCTGATTTCGGGAAGTGAGGAAACAAAGATTTTTTAAAAGGGCCTATTGGCTAAGCGATTAAAGATTACAAAAAAAAAAAAAAAAAAAAAATTAAGTGCAGTATTGTAAACTTCCTAATAAACAATATTATCAAACAAATACGATAAATTAATCACAACAAAAAAATACAAAAATTTAACAAAAGCAAATTTAATTGCATTTTTATAGAGCAGCTTGTTTCGTGCACTTCATTTGAATCAACTAAATTTCAGAATTTTATTGGTTAAATTTAGATTGTTGGTAAAGATAAAGGCATTCTAAAAGGAAATTGGCCAATTTATAAGCAGCTTTAAAAATAATATACGAACAGCTTCTGTTTTTGTTTCTTTACATGCTACTCAACCGTTTAAGATGTAATTGTGGAAGCCTATTTCGTGCTCTACATCAATAAGTATTTTTACCCTCAATAGTTTCTGATTTTCCTTTATTTGTTGGAGTATGTAGTGCCCCTCATGTTCTTTGAAAAATGTATTTGGAGCATTTCGACCCTTATCATTCGGCTGGTCATCAACTCTGTTTTATATATATTTAGATAAAGATAATATTTTAGCCATATTATGCAGATTTTTTCTGTTTTGAAGTGAAAAGATATCCGCGGTGTCTTTAAAATTCTTTCCCCGTATCTTTATGTTATTTTGATTTTGTCAATATTACTGCTTGGTCTTCATAATTATAAAAATATATTTATTTTATTAATTTAAAAAGTAGGATTTTTTTAAATACTGTATTTAATTTTTATTTAGATATCTTAGAGGATAAACTTTAATTCCTGGACTTCACGAAATAAGCTGTCAGCTAATGTTTATGGTGCAAAACGAATGTAAATTTTTTGTTAACAAAAACTATAACTACAACTATGGTAGACCCAACTATTTATATACCCAGATTTATGTGTTGTATATTAGCTATATATACGTACATATATACATGTAAGCGCACGGCAAAAAAGAGCCTATAAAACAAGAAAGTTTAAAGTGAGTTAAGGAAAAGGAGGTTTCTAGTTAATTAATGATTGTTTATTTCATTGTCATTATTTTTATTTTTAATCTTTTGTCTGCGTTTTTGCGATTTTGTTTTCGTTTTCCTTTTTGCCCTATAAAGAAATGTATAAGACTTGAGCTTACTCTAATTGCGAAACCCCAATTATAAATGAACGAATTTCGAATTTGATTTAATTATTAATTAGTTTAAAGCGGATGTAAACAGATTTCCTACAAGTCTTAAATATATATTTATATGTATACATAAGACTTCTTTAAGACAGACTGGGGAAAAGTTTCTAAAACTTCCGCGCCCGTGTTAGTCAAATTCTGTAATTTTTGCAAGTTAAAAAGAGAAGAACGCACTACTGTAGCACCCCTAGCCCCATAAATGTATATATTTTAAGTAGATCTACTGAGCATAAACGAATGTTGAAAGAAAGCAAAAAATACATAAATGTACATACATATCGCCCTTTTGGGGCGTGGAAGCGGCAAACAGCTACCAGATAGGAGTTGTCGATTTATAAATCTAAATCTAAAGTTAAATTTGGTTATGTAAGTTCTAAGTAAATTATTTTTGCTAACCATTAAGTAAATTAAATATAAAGAAAACTTTATAAAGTTGCAAAGAACACACACAGACACCCCTCTCCCACATACACACACATAAGTATACAATTAATTCAATTAAACAAAAAACGTAAGATTAATTACGGTAAAAAAGAGAGAAGAACCACTAATAGTGAGATAAACCACTTGTAAAATAAACATACATATATATGTGTATATATATATATTTATATATATATGTATATATATATATATATATATATATATATATATTTATATATATATATATATTTATATTTATATGTATATATATATATATTTATATGTATATATATATATATTTATATATATATATATATATATATATATATATATAAATATATATATATATATATTTATATATATATATATATATATATAAATATATATATATGGGTTATTCTCCAGAAAGAAAAACCGCGGCCAAAAAATTAAGAGTCCTCTTAAATGATTTTTTCAGCATAGTTACACCTAGATATATTCTTATTGATCAAATTTAAAGACTAGCATATTCTAAAACCGATTTCGAAATTTTCGAATGCAAATTCGCGCGAATGAAATTTGTCATTATTTTTATGAAAAACACAATAAAAACGGAATTTTTTGTTATATTAACAACTTCTAAAAAGGCATTATGGTTTGACTTTAGCTTTCTATCATCACTCAGAGAATGCAGAGTCGTAAGAAATTGCATATTATTTCTTTTAATTCACCTAAACAGTAATAAACAACATACAAATAACGATGGGAAAAAACAACTTAATATTTTGAAGGCAGACATAATACCTTTTTAAGATCAATTTTTGCAGACATTAAAATTTGTTGCATTAAAATATGTCATCACGTTTCGCTAAGTTGTATGAGTTTAACTAGTTTTCGAAAAAGTAACTTCTGTCTGTGTTGCGTGCGAATTGCCTTAAATTTTTGTAATTATCTTTAAAATGATCAATTGCCCAAAATCGATATTAGCACCGATTATAGTGCTCACCAAGAATTATAAGTTTCAAATATTGTAATATTAAAATGAAGTCTTGGCAACATTTTTTTTTTTCAGATTGAATGCGTATAAATGTAGCATTTGACATCAGAGAATTACCCATATAAATTATATATTCTATTATATATATACTATATACGACCTAAATATTAATAATACCAATCATTAAGAACAGAAAACTAAGGAAATAAAAAAAAAACAATACAGATATGTATACATATATACATATATATATATATATATATATATATATATATATATAATTATATACTTATATATAATTACGACAATTTTATATGCGTTAAGGCGTTGGTCAGAATACAAATAACCAGGACGAGCGAACAGAAAACGTATCATTACAAAAAAAAAAAGAATATAAAAAATGAAAGAAATATACAAAAACATTTTTTAAAACAACAAAATCATCATGAAATTTGTTTTTATTTTCCAATTTTCTTTCAGTTACAAAAACAATTGGCTTGAACAAACCGACTTATTCGTGAGAAAGCACTTTATCTTGACCCCGTCTCCAGTGACCCAGGATCCTTATGTCTCGACCCCCGTCTTCTTAGAGCATTTTAGAGCATAGAGAAAACAAGATAATTTACAAATGGGTTTCGACCAGAAATGTTAACTTCTTACCACTGAAAATACACACAAAGAAAGACTAGTTTGCGATCTATCCCCTATTATCGTGCCACAGTACCTAAAGAACACACACATACAGTTCCGGTCATTGTTATGTACTTATTTTTTTTTTTTAAGAAATTTAAAATTTTAGAAGGAAATGTTAATTAATGATTTTATTTATTAACGTTAAATAACGGATCGTATAGGTGTAAAAAGAGTATATTATAGTTTACTAAATTTCTTAAACATTGCATTTTTTTGACCGTAGATGCGTATAGATGATCATGGCGAAATGAATATAAAGTAATTTTCTAATTTGTTTACTTTAATTAATGTGTTTTTGATTAATGAAAAGCGCAGTCAAGTGTAAAGAAAAAATGTAACCAAAATTCGATTGGACTTATCGGGAAATGTTCAATAATCCGAACACCTACTAAATAGAAAAAGTGCCTAGCGGAACCAGTAGAAAGAAGTTTAGATGAACATTTAAACAAAGAAAAAAACAACAACAAACCATATTAATTATTTTACATGCGCCACGGCCAAGGGTATACTAATTTTTTGATGTAAATTCAAAATCTGTGAAAGCTTTCAGATAATTTTCGAAAGTCAAACTTTAGTTAGGAAGAATATATTTGGCCATATATTTTGATTTATAAATAACAACTTCTGTACGCTTAGTGTTAATTAATTAATTAATTAATTAATAATTAATGACCTTCGAAAACAGTTGATAGGCTTCACAGATATTAAAGCAGACGAATATAAACAAAAAGTCTACATTACAATTTACGCAAATGTACACATCCTACTAAAATAATGTATATTGATTAAGGAGAGCTCAATCTCTAGGGTTGCTAGACTGAGTTATATAAGAGGAAAAGGCCTAATCGAGAATTCTTACACGTAAACGTAATTCAATTACCTTGCAAAGTATCAAATACTCCAACTAGTTTGCATCTATGTGAACACTGTACATATATATACTCGAAGTACGATATACGAATACGACTAAACATATACATATATATATTTACATATATAGAGTTAAGAAGAGTGTGGCATGTGCTATTGGATAGACATTCTAAATTATAAAGAACAAATGCGTACACGTATACACCACATTAATAACATTTCTGAAAAGTCAACCTTTAAATGAAGTGATCATATAAATATAGATCCTAAAGATTACTCTGCTTGTTGGTCAGACTCCATCTACGGCCCTATATATAGTGGATTTTGACTGCATTGTTGTATTTTTGCTGCACAAAGAAACCGGAAACTTGAACCAAAATATAAAATGCAAAATATATCAAACCGAAAATTAATTCACGCTTTTAAAAATTGGCCAGAAAGCTAACGAAACTCATCAAAACTATCAAGGATTTCACACGACTAAAAACTAAGCACTGCTTACTAATTCAAAGATAAGATGTGTTTTTGTAGAAAACCCGTGGGAGATGAGATGTGAAGTGTTGGTTGAAATAAAAGTATCGAAAAAGCGAAAGAGAAAAAAAGGAATCCTTCCATGTATTTATTTTTCATATTTCTTGAGCGGAATTATAGCTGATGCTGTGAAAGTGCTGTGAACATCGATTTTTCTCCACCACTAATAATTTGAATTACAAAAATAAGGGAAGAAAGAATAAAGAAAAGTATATGGGCAAACCACAAAATGTTTAAATTCGATTAAATTTTTTTTAATTCAAAAACTGCCAATTTTGTTATTATAATTTCAGTGAGAAGCCTACAATGTATTAAAGGAGTAATTTTCAACCATATAAATCATATAAATTCTTGAACAGCAGGAACAAACATTTCGATCTAATTTACCATTACTCAAAGTGTAAAAAATATCATAACTAAGCTTTCATGTGTTAGTTTTTATAAGTTTAATAAAACTAAATACTCTACTTCACTATTTTAAATATAAAATTAATACTTAAAAAAAAAAAATGAAATAAAATGTTTACCAATTTTTAAAAATTTTAACAATGTAACCCCTTATGTTTGGAAAAAAAAAAAAAGTTTAACTTTTTTTGTCTGAGATGGCTAGATTGACTCGGCTGTTTATGCTGATTAATAATATATATGTGATTTAAGGGTCATCATATCATTTAAGCCTTCAACTACAATTATAATACCCTGCAGGGGTACAAAAATTAGGAAGACGGATCAAATATAGGGAACACATTGCTAAAGCTGCTTTATGAAGGAATTATAAATACTTGTTTATGAAAGTCACAAATTTTTTAATGAAGTTCAGTTTAAAAGCAAATTTTAACTTTTAAATATTATATTTAAAATTTTTATACAAAATGGTACTAGTAATTTAAATATATAGAAGTAATTACATCGTTGTATAAAAGCTTCATAAAGTTTTGCTTGCATTAGGTTTTTTATTCACAAGTTGCCGAACGACGTTGCCCTCTTTACCAAAATGGACAACCAAAAACAGACGATCGTTACTCTTAAGTGGCTCTCTCGCTCTAAACACAACTCTCCAGAGAGAGAACAAACGAAGCAGGAGGGAGTAGATAAAAAATTGCGCGCGAAACCAGAGACAATCGGGGATTACAAAAAAATGGTAATGGTGCTGTTTCACTCACTCCTTTACATTCCTTATTGCTGCAGATCCCAACAGCCAATAACGGACGAAACGCGCACACACACACACAAAAGAAGAAAAACCTAATTTGTGGTGGGATTGTCACACACTTGTACATTTTTGTTACCGCTTCGAAATGGTGGCACCTTTTTACATTAGGTGCACTTGCACATGAAAAAAAACCAACAAAGTGAGCCAAGACAAACGCACACACACACACGGTAGTGTTTATATAAAAAAAAAACACGACAGCGTCCCGGCTGCCACCACTTTACTAACACTGTGGGGACTCGCTGTTTTCCCGGACTTTTCACTACTGCCACTAGTTTTTTCGCGGTAGTTTTCCGAAGTCTTGCACTTTTGACCGCCGCGTTGATCTTCAGCAAAACGGTTTTTTCCTTTTGTGTGGAGCATTTTCTTCCTGCTTCCATTTCGTCCGACGACGCGAGAGTAACTGATTGCCGACGGCCGCTAGGAGAAGTCTCTCAGCAATATGGGAGGCGGAGATGGTGAGTGATGTTGCTGAGAGAGAGGTTTTTTATTCGCGAGTTGGCGAACGACGTTTCCCTCGTTACCAAAAAGGACAACCAAAACAGCGGATCGTTACTCTTAAGTGGCTCTCTCGCTCTAAGTACAACTCTCCAGAGAGAGAACAATTGAAGTAGGAGGGAGCAGATAAAAAAAATTGCGTGCGAAACCAGAGGCAATCGAGGATTAAAAAAAAATGGAAATAGTGCTGTTTCACTTACCCCTTTACATTGCTTAGGGGTGCATAGGCAAAAAAAAAGAATGGCCTCGCGAAACCCGAGAAAATGGAGGATTCAAGAAAAATGTTAATAGTGTTGTTTCACTCATCCCTCAACATTGCTTATTACTGCAGATCCCAACGACGAATCAGTAAACGAGACACACACACAGAAAAAAGACAAACCTTATAATTTGTAGATGTATTGGCACAAAGTTATATATGTATATTATTTAATCGCTAAAAAATGGCCGTACCTTTTTACATTGGTTGTACTTTTTTTTTCAAAATATATAAGCGTTAAAAATTTATAAAGATGTAAATACATTAAAATTAAAATTTTTTAAGCTTAGGTATACAGGTTTAGTAACTATTTTATAAATAGCAAAGAACTTAAAAGGCTTCGGTGTAAAATTTGACGCTTTTTGGCTTAGTCATAAATTAATTTCGATTCTGAAGCCCTGTTCTGAGTCTTTAACAGGTTAATGGATAATTGAAGTTACAGTTAAAGGCTGAACTGCTTTTAGTTGTCAATATCATTATCAATATGTATATTTATAAATTTATTTATATACTTAATATTAACGCTTTTAATAAAAAATTTTTTTAAGGAAATAACGTAAAAAGATAATTTACTAATGTTGGAATTTTTTTAATTTTTTGAATTCGTTTCATTTGCAAAGCGTTTGTAGTTTTTCAATATTTAAAGGGGGAATTATATAAAATATACATATGCATCTATAATACATATACATAATATGTATATGTATATAAAATATATAAAAATATACCTAGAATATTTATAAAGTAAGGTGATATAAAATGTGTATTAGGCAAAAATTAATAAATAAACATTTTAATTCTTTTAATAGCTTTTAATTAAAAATGCTTTTTGGCGGAGAATGAAATTGAGCAAATTTACATAAATAAATAAGTAAACTGATTTTAATGAAACGCATACCAAAATCTTAAGAAAGCCTATGTCGTTCATTGAACATATAAGATTTTGAACATTTATTTCATGAAACTGTTAATATTTTACGTTGCTAATGGTTACCATTTCGTTCACACCTTTAACAAATATACAAAATCGGACCTTATTGAAAACGCTTTATCCAGTCGCTGAACCAGACAAGGTAACCTCGCGACGGAAAATATACAGCTACAAATGGCGAATTTATTTGGTTTGTAAATAATAATAAAAATAAAGAACGGATTTTGATAAAAAAGAACAAAAAGCTTATCGGGGCCATTTTGTTCATTGGACACATATTTTCTTGAACAGTTGATTCCAGACATTAAAAAAATTTCCCTTTGCTAGTGGTTATGTTGTCTGGTTCAGAGACTGGATAAAAAAGCACACTTGTGAGCTTTAAGTCGATGACAGCATCGTGTCGCATATATTTAACTATCGATATATCGATGCTTTGCCTTGTTTTTAAAAACGAAACTTCACGTCGCCAGTCGGAGCGCAAAAGAAAAGAAAACAAAGAATATAAATGCCGGAGATCGCAAAACATTAGTGGCCAGCAAATGTATGTGCGGAACGGGACGTAACGCGAGCAGAAGCGGCGGCGACGGTGACCATTTCCCAGCAGTAGGCAATTTTGTGTCTGTGTGTCCGTTGAAAGAATATGCGTTAGAGCGAGACGACCGGTATGTGCGTTCATCCAGTTTCTGTGGTTTGTTTACCCAAGGCCATGTTTTATTTGTATTATTGCAGGGACGTCAGCAGAGCAGAACTGCGGCAGCAGCTGCAGAGAAACAGGGACAGCAGCAGCGGCAGCAAAAAAAATATGCGTGAAAGCGAGACGACCGATATGTGTGCGATCATATCTTTTTTGTGGTTCGTTTAATTGAATCATTGTTTTATTTGTATTGTAGCGACGCCTGCAGAGTAGCAGCAGCAGGAACAGCAGAGCAACAGGGGCAGCAAAAAAAATATGCGTAAAAGCGAGACGACCGATATGTGTGCGTTCAGCTCTATTTTGTGGTTTGTTTACCTAAAGCAATGTTTTTTTGTATTATTGCAGCGACGCCAGCAAAGCAGCAGCAGCGGTAAAAACATCAGAACAACAGGGGCAACAGCAGTGGCAGCAAAAAGAATATGCGTGAAAGCGAGGCGTCCGGTATGTATGCGATCATCTCTTTTGTGGTTCCTTTAACTAAATCGATATTTTATTTGTGTTATTGCAGCAACGCAAGCAGAGCAAAAAGGGCAGCATAAGCAGCAGGGCAGAGCACAGGTAGCAGCACCAGCAAATCAGATAAATATTATACTTACACTAATAAAAATATTTTAATATTAT